AAACAAATGCAACATAAAAGAGTGTAACACATCTTTGCATCATTAAACAAATTTTCCATAGCATAAACAAATGTTACACATCTTAAAACACTATTCCGTAGCACTCTATTCTCTTTGTTGTTGAAAGATGCTTTGCAGGCTACCAAAAGAGAAGCATGGACATCAATCTACCCACAAAACCAGTGACCTCAAATCTGTCCTGCCTGAAGAAATGCTCTGGTAAAGGTGGCACAGAACTTGTGGGAGTGGCCAACCAATGTCTCATTTAACTTGAGATCCTCTCCACGTGTGAAGTCCATACCCAACACTGCTTTGATGGCCAGTAACCGGTATCTGGATAGTCCAGAGACCTAAGATAGAACTAAACATGACTGGTCAAAAAGGAACAAAACAAACAAACAAACAAACAAACAAACAAACAAAAACAATAAAAGGACTCCTAATGATATTCTGCTACACTCATAGATCAGTGCCTTATGTAGTCATCATTTGAGAGGCCCTCTCCAGTAGTAGATGGGGGAAGATGCAGAGACCCACAGTCAGCATTATGTAGAGTGAGAGTCTAAATTGGAAGCCTCCATCAGACCCCTCACCTTGGAGCTCAAGGAATCCTGCAGAGGAATAGAAAAGATTATAGGAGTCAGAGGAAATGGGGGACACCAGGAAAACAATGGTCACCGAATCTACGAAACAGGGTTCATATGGGCTCACAGAGACCAAAGCAGCAAGCATTGGGCCTGCATCGGTCTACCAGGTCCTCTGTGTATGTGCTGTGGCTGTGTGTTAGCTTGGCATTTCTTGTGAGACTCCTAACTGTGGGAGCAGGTTTATCTCTGACTTCTTTGCCTGCTCTTGAGCCTCTTTTCCTTCTGTTGGGTTGCTTTATCCAGCCTCAATAGGAGGGCTTTTGCCTTTGTATTGTATTCTGTTTCATCATATTAGGTTTTTGTCTCTTGGAGGCTAGTTCTTTTCTACAGGGACATGGACGTGGAGTGGATCTGGGGGAGAGGGGAGTTGGCCGGGAGTTGGAAGGAGCAGAGGGAGGGGAAGTTGTGGTTAAAATGTATTGTATGAGAAAGAATATATTTTTTAATAAAAAATCATTTGTTTTAGTATTTATGTAATAGGAATCTTAAAAGGTCTTATAATTAAAAAATCCCAGAGTCAGATATTGAGGGGAAAGCTGAAGGATCAGAGAAGCAGAACAGCCAGGCTCTAGCTTACCTCTACGAAAACCTCAGCCTCAGAGAGTGAGTTGCTGTTTCTTCATGCCTGATATACCTTTCTGTGTCCTGCCATATTACTTCCTGGGATTAAGGGTATGTGTCACCATTGCCTGGTTCTGTTTTACTCATGTAGCCCAGTGTGGACTTAAACTCCCAGAGATCCTCACATATCTCTGCCTCCCATGTGATAGGATTAAAGTTGTGTGCCACCAATACCTGACTTCTATGTCTAATTTAGTGGCTGGCTCTGTCTGATCCCCAGGTCAGCTTTATTGGGGTACATGATTTATCACCACATATTTATATTTGGCTCTTTTAAAGTAAACTTGTAAACTTAGGTTAACAGAGAAAACACACATATGCCAATTGTTCTTTTAAGCTAGAAGGGAGAGTACTCAGTGTTTTTTCCTAATTGGATACCTCAGGATTTATTTTGAAGTGTCTATTTGTACTCTATTGTACAATGTTTTGTTGAATTATATTTTCATTCATCATGCATATATGTGTATATAGTCAGACACACAGACATAGATTCACACACCTTAACTGTGTGTACAATAAGAAATAGAGGATTTTGAGAATAAACTTAACCTTAAAATTTCACTGTTCTTTCAAATATCAATTGAGAAAATGTGTATTTGGTTGTCAATTGCTATTGATTTCAGTTGTTTCTTTCTCATCAGTCTGTAGCAAGAATTTCACAATTACTAAGATAATAAAATATGGTCTCAAATGTTATCTTAGTTTAGTTTTGGAAACCAGAAATAAAAAAAAAATAAAACAAAACAACTTCTGACATTGCTTACTGTGTCCTTTTACATTTTGAAATTCAGGATGGATGAGAAAATCTTATTCATAGCCTAATACACTCTATGTCTTATTGGTGGTTAATTTATGATAGTAAGAAACCAAGAAACTAGCTTATAAAGATTGTTCTAAGGCAGAATATTGTTATCCACCATCTTGAGTATGTAGAACACCAAACAAAAATCACAAGGGCTAATGATTTCTATCATCAGCAGGAGAACATACTTAATAGGAGAACACGATTATTTTAGTTCATCATTGGCTGTGTAGACAAGGTCAGTTATTAAGGCCCTAGATTCATAAATGTTGCTCTATGTAATAGCTGGTGGGAGGAAATTGCCATTGTGAGAATGTGCCAGATGCCACACTGAGAAAGGAACTGTACCTCCTGGGTCACACTGGAAGAGTCCAATAGACTGGTAACATCTGTTTAAGGCCAGTGCTTTTTAAAACGAGGGAGGTCAGTTCTAATGCCTATTCATTGAATGTCCTGAAAACTGGGTCATATACACTTGAAAGTGTTAGGGAGTTGGTTTCAGAGAGATTTTCAGAGTCCACCTGTAATTCAAAGGCACGCCTTATGAAGCAGCTTTCAAAGTTGAAAGAATTCTGATAACTTTCCAAAATGAGAAATACTTTAATTTTTAAATGCCCCTTGAGTCATTTCTTCATCTCACAAGCAGAAGTAAAAGTCGATTATCCTGCAAACACATTGATTGACTAGAATAGCTTTGTGAGGCTTTTGTCTGTTTTATTTATTTATTTAATCTTTTCCTTCTAGCATATGCAGCATGGCATCAAAAGTTAGAGCTTGAGTGTAGCATCAATCACTTGAAATTTAGCCACCTCATCTTATTTTAACCTTTTATGGAACAACAGTTAGAAACTGAGGTTTTTATTCCCTTCCAAATTTTATTTAGCTCTTGATCCTTGAAAGTGTTTGTAGGTTGTACAGCATGCCTTTTTCTTTAGTTAACTATAGTCAAGGACCATGAAAGGAATGATCAATGGAGATGAAGTGTTACACTTCATTAAACGTGGTAGCATTGTGTTGGTATCAAATGGACGTATTGGGGGAGGGGATGTTTTACTTTTCTATTGCTGTGAAGAGATATCATGACTAAGGCAACCTATAAAAGAAAATATTTAACTGGGACCTTGCTTAGGATTTCAGAGAATAAATAAAGTCCCTGACCATCAAGACAGAGAGCATGGCAGTAAGCAGGCTGGCATGGTGCTGGAGCAGTAGCTGAAACTTACTTATTGAGAGAGAGAGAGAGAGAGAGAGAGAGAGAGAGAGAGAGAGAGAGAGAGCCCTAGCTGGAAACAGGTGTTTTTTTGAGAACCTGCCCCCAGTGACACACCTCCTCCAACAACACCACACCCTCTAATCCTTTCCAAATAGTTCCATCAACTAGAAAATAAGCATTCAAATATATGAGCCTACAGCAGCTATTCTCATTCAAATCACTACAAGGAGGAGAGAACCACAGTGAGGGGAGGAGCTCTGCTCTCAGGGTGCTTCTCTATGTAGCCTACTGCTCTGAAGGCCGCTGGATCATTCTGTCATGCATATGGGCTCTATCTGTAATGATACTTTCAACCTGGAAACACAGTTGTCTGCGACAAGATCTTAGCTCTCAGTCAAGTTATCCGGATGATAATCAATATCAAACATCTAGGTCCAATCCTAGCTGCTGGGCCTGTATAGCAATATGAGCCTACCTGGAACCATTTCCTCCTCTGTGAACGAAGAGACTCCCTTATTTGTTTATTCAGCTGATGTCTGTGCAGTTTCTGTTGTGCCAGAAATTGAGGCAGCCAATAAAGACAGCTGGTGACATGTAGGATGTCATTGTCTATGCAAATAGCTGTCACAGCATTCTTTTGAGCCCCACACTTTAAAACAGCTGATAGAGCTTTGCTTTGTGGACTATGAAGTACCATACAAAAATCAAGAGGTTCTGACTGCCAAAGGCAGTGAGCTAAGGCTAAGGGATGAAACTGCAAGCATTTATTAGGTTGAATATGAGAAGAAAATAAAAGATAAGGGAAGTTGGCCCTTGATTATTCTCAGACTGGTTAAAGTTTATGATTATCAATGCCCTTTGGTTCTCCTTCCTCTTCCAACCACGACTATTGAATATTTCCCTGCTCATTAACACCTGTCTAGGAGTGGGAAGGTGAAATGCTAATCAGGCAATTTAGCTAATTGTTAGCTGCTGCTAGGATGCAGGTTTTATTTTTTTCTTCCCCGTTCAGATAAGGAAATGCTGAAATCTTTTTCTAAAATGTTAACAGTGGATTTCTAAACTTTATGTCACCTTCTCATTCTTTCGCTTATAAGATAAATTAAAATATTTTGTTTTCAGCAAGGTGTTAGAATAAAACCCGGAGATGTCATGCTTCTCAATGTTCTGTTTAAATGTCACATTGCATACTCCTTATTGACTAATATCTAGAAAATGTTAATTTCCTACAACATGACTAGCTTAGAAGAGTGGTCACGATTTAATAATTTCAGTTTTAAGTGAAGCCCTATATAAGTGCACTTGCTAAGAGGGTTTGGAACAATCAGAAACCAACTCAGAGAATTACTTAAGTCTACCCTCCCCTCTGCCTGTGGTAGACATTACATGACCCTCCCCTAACCAAATAAGGGAGAGGGGAATGTTCTGGGGATTAGGGACACTAAGAATAAATCTGAGCTGTCTCGGATAATGTTGCTTTCCACTCTTTAGTTCATGTTTTCTGACACAGACCCCTGTAATTATCTCAGAGATGGTGCGGGGGCTTAGACAGTATTCTCTAGATACTTAGGCGTCTTCTTCCCCTTTTATTTATTTGTTTATTTATTTATTTATTTTTTGCCTGTCTCTTTAGGGCTGGAAAGCCAGTGTGTGTGTGTGTGTGTGTGTGTGTGTGTGTGTGTGTGTGTGTG